GTGTTTAATATAATTAGATACACAGATCAATAGGAGTTCTTTTAGTGAGCTTTGTCCCTATTAGATTGATACCGTAGGTCGGGATATATTCGCGGCTGCAATTATTCGCTGTCATAAAAAAATTTCAATTAAAAACCATGGAAACCGAGGTGTTATTTTAATTGAAAACGGTGCGATAGTGAAGAAAAGCACCTTGCTGCAGTGTTCTTCAGCTGTTGTTCTTCTTGTGTTACTAAGCCTTGGTCTCTTTGGAGCTGCTTTACCAGTTCTTTTCAGAACTAGTGCCTCGCCGTATTTTGGGACTCTCCACCTATTCTAGTTAGTGTTTATTGACTTGGGCGTGGTTTAACATCACCAGTGCAGCACTCGGACCAGCAACAATTTGCAGCAAAGAGGCTGAAAGAGCTCTGAGGTAGCAGTCCATACAAGAAGTTAACAGATAGAGAAGGACTCGCTATTGGTGAATGGCTCCACTATAGCTGCTAAAGAACAGATGAATAGCTCAACACTAAACACGTGGTCTTAATTGTCATAGCAACGCTCTAACAGTTTCCATGGTTTTTAATTGAAATTTTTTTATGACAGCGAATAATTGCAGCCGCGAATATATCCCGACCTACGGTATCAATCTAATAGGGACAAAGCTCACTAAAAGAACTCCTATTGATCTGTGTATCTAATTATATTAAACACAATACAGGTAAAGGAATAGTACATTCACACTATGCCCAATACTATGCCTTTATAATCTTCTATATTGAGGTACATGTATTGTGCATGCATAACTGAGTAAAGTAACAAATCATGAGAAGCTAACCTTCTTTTTAATTTGGTATTGATATGAAGGAGGTAATGTGTATTTCTTATTAACATAAACTGGATCCAATGACAAGTATTGATGATGATTATGAACAATTTGTAACACATCAGACAGTACACTAACTTCAGTCAATGCTTGCCTGCAATAAACACAAAACTAATAATAAAGTTTAACTATCCTTTATGTATGCAATACATTGATACATGATTCATACTCTTGTTTATACAAATTCATGTATTTATGTACTTGAGTTTTGAGTGTGTGAATTCCCATGGCCAGCGATGACTTGGTTTCTTAGTTGTAGGACCAGAAACTCCCTCCTCCTCCTCCTCCTCTTGTTTCTTCCTTCCTCCTTCTCTGTCACTATCATCATCAGCTCTCTCTTCTCTAAAGTCAACATGTTGAGCTAATTCACTTAGTTTCTGAGAGAGAGAAGGTCTCCTACAAATAAACACACATACATGCATGTACAGTGCCAAATAACAATTCTAGTGTACAATCTACGCATCATTAATTTTGCATGCTATTATAAGTATTTTTATGCTTTTCACTTATGTCACTTTAATTTAGAATTCCCAATTAAAATTTATATAGTCATGAAAATCAAGAAAATAATGAAATAACATCTACTCAATTAATTACATTCTGTATTATTATAATAAATGACTGTTACCCTTCATATATCTCTTCTCCATCATAGTTGATCTCCTTGACTCTTGTAGTATGGAGTGATTCAACTGAGACCTTGAAACCAGCATCACCATTGGACGCCATGTGTGACTTGTGGGCGGATCAAGACCAATTAAAATTGCGGGGGTGTTAGCAACAAAAATCACGCAAACAAGGGCGGGGCTCATAGACAAACAAAAGAACTAGGCTCTGAACGCTCTGAAGAGGCAGCAGTACAAGCAAAGTTACATTTGAAGCAGCAGCAATTACAGTTTA